TTATTTGCATTTCCCTCTTATTTATAAAAAAATTAATAGAGATGAGCAAAATATGAGTGGTGATCCCTAACTATTTGTTGATTTAAGATTGTTGTGTGTGAAAAACTCTTTTAGAAAGAAGCTTTTTATGTACATTGGGGTGTGGGAATCTTGTAGCTTTTAAGCAACCTTTGCTCCAAGCAATTCTATAATTCTCTGCGTGTTCTTCTCCTCTTCTCTCCCTATTCATAATCTTAAAAACAGATGCAAACAAATGAAGATGGGTTATGTGATCAGTCATCTGAGAAAGACAACAATGGCGGTGACTCATGAGGATCTTCTGCCAAGTCGCCGGAGGAGCCCTCAATTGGGCACCAAAATGGGCACTTATCTTGTGCTTTTCACCCTTCTTTTTGGCCTTGCTTGTTTCATTCTCTGCCTTGTCGCTGAGTCCACTCGCTCTCGGGTAAAAAACTTCTCATTCTTTCTCGTTATGCTCTTAATACTTAAAAGTTTCAGTGATATCTACTTATCTATCAATGAAAATACCGCGTTAAATAGAAAGTTGAAGGTTTAATATAGCTTGTAAACTATTATTCTTTAATTTCATCAAAAAAATTCTCGCGTCGTTAATGATTTATATTAACAACTATCTAATTTTAGATATATAAGCCTACACATGACGACCTTGCTTTTTAGTTTTAACTTTTTTAATAGTACAAATAGTCTAGTTAACCTTTGTTGTTAATAGCATTATAATTACAATTACAATTGGGGAGATGAAAATTCACTGTATTAAGTTAGTGAAAGTATTATTATTTTTCTTCTCTTCTAGCGGACGTGAGATATTGTTTGCACTCTCTCAAAACTTTGTATCTTTTGTAGGTGATATGGTTGGATAATGGAGGCAACGATAAGAAGGATGGAAAAAGGAGATGCTCATACAGCGGGAGCGGGAAGACGCCGCTGCTGTGTGGGGCAAGCGCGTTTCTCGGGATGGCGGTGACGATGTTGGTGCAACACTTGTATGTGTTGATTGCAGTGAGTAAGTCGCCGCCTCCTGCTCTCGTTGCTTGGGACCATACTTTCTCCCCTTCCAATTCTCTTACCTATCAAGCTGCCTTCTTCTTCATTTCAACATGGTAAATTCTCACGCATCTTCATACTTACTGTCATTAAATAATTGACAACTATTTATTATATTTTCTCTTTCCTTTCTTTAGAAAAATACTTGGCTCCTTGTCGTCACCGCCATTAAAAAATTAATGAGATAATTTTTATAAAAATTTTTTATTTTTATGTTTCTCTCTTAATTGTCAAATATTTAAGGGTGGTGAGGACAATATTTCTCTAGCCAAAGATTTTTTTTTTATACATTTATCTGTTTTTATTGTCAATGTTTTAATAGTTATGGGTTGGAATTCCTACTAATACTCGTCACCTAAGTTTTATCATTTTTTACATTACCTTCTTTTTTTTCCTAACTCTCCAACTTCCAAATTCCAAATTTGTATTTCACACCGTACCTTTAAATATATCATAACTTATCAATCATTTTTATATAAATTACAAGTATAACCCTTAAATTTTTAAACTTGTCTAAAAAAATCCCTAAACTTTCAAAAATTCTAATGTCTCTAAAATTTTAATTATGCATTTAATAGATCCATGATCTATTTAATAATTATTTTAAAAATTCAAAAAATGTGTTAGACACAATTAAAATATCAAGGTCACACAAAATTGAAATTCCAATGACTTTCTAGACCCAAAATAAAAAAATTTAAACTAAAATCGACACTTTTTAAATTGAGACATTATTAGATACGAGTTAAAAGATTCAATGATTAAATTTTTAATTTAACGATATTGACAATACAACAAGTGGCGTGGAAGATTGTCAGATGTGAATTAGACTCTGTGTTGGTAACGATATTGATAATAAGTCTTCGGATTTTGTGCCAAAATTTAATGACCATTTAACAATGACAGGATAAGTTTTGCGGTGGGAGAGATTTTGTTGTTGGTAGGATTGAGCGTTGAGTCTGGTCATCTCAACAACTGGTCCACTCCAAAAGAGAGCTGCCTCGTGATCAAGGAAGGTCTTTTTTCGGCCGCCGGAATCTTCGAGCTGGCGGCGGTGCTCCTCGCCGCCGGGCTGTACATGACGGCGGTGCGAGCGCAGAGAATGTTTGAAGAGCAAGAAAGCGTGAGGAGAGAGGTGGCGGAGAGTTACGATTTTGTCCAAGCCTCGCCGCCGCTGCACCCGATGCCGCCTATTGCCAGAGAGGACCCTGTAATTGGGCA